ATACCTCTGTCAGGATCCTACTCGCCATAGCCGTCGCTAAGCATCTGCCACTGCGACAGATCGACGTGAAGAACGCATTCTTATATGCGTTGGTGGACGCAACCATCTTCGTGGAGCAGCCACACACCTACGGAGAAGGAGACCCCAGGGTCTGCCAGCTGAAGAAATCCCTCTATGGGATCAAGCAGGCGCCTCGTCTCTGGCAGCAGCACCTGCACAAAATTCTGCTCGAGATCGGTTTCACGCAGCTGCCGCACGACCCGGGAATGTACCGCCTCCACTTTAACCGAGACTACATCCTCCTCACCGTCTACGTCGACGACCTGCTGTACACTGGCACCTGCAACCTGCTCCTTAACCAGTTCGAGGAAAACCTGGCGAAGCGCGTGGATATCACCATCAACCACAATGTCACTCAGTTTCTGGGCCTGAACATCACCTACGCGCCAGAAGCAATTCATCTGTCAGCTTCGAAATACGCAGAGCAGCTGGGGGAACGCTTCAACATTTCACGCGCACCATTCTCAACCCCCTACCGCAACAACAAACCGGACCAACTACAAACCGGACAACAAACCTCTGTCCCCTGCCGGACTTCAACTATACCAGCAGCAACTGGGTTGCCTGCTGTTCGCATCTGTCACATGCCGACCCGACCTTTCGTACATCGCCAGCCAACTGGCACAGTACTCCCGCAAGCCAGTAGCCGAGAACCAGCTGGACCTGGAGCGCGCCCTGCAGTACTTCATCTCCACACCTGACATCGGGCTCTCCTACTCCACGCTGACAACAACCACTTCCTTCAACCTCAATGGCTACGTGGACGCAGATCACGCCGCTGACCCTGCGAATCGACGGTCCCGAACCGGCTTTGTCTTCCGCCTGGAGCCAACCGGCCCAATCTCTTGGAACTCGCAGAAGCAGGAACTGGTTGCCCTGTCATCGGCTGAAGCTGAATACATCGCCGCGACAGCAGCAGTTCGCGAAGGCTTGTACGTGCAGGAACTGTTACAGGAGACGAAAATTCCAACCTCGCCTACCTTTCGCCTGCACTGCGACAACCAAAGCGCGATCAAGATCGCGAACAAGCCCGGGTTCGTGAACCGCACGAAGCACATCGCACTGCGGTACTTCTTCGTCAAGGACGAAATTGACCAGGGCAAGGTTGACCTCGCGTACTGCCCGACCACTGAGATGGCGGCCGACTTCCTCACCAAGCGTCTGCCACGTCAGCAGTTCAAGCACTGCTCCGACCTCACCGGAGTGGTCAAGCGAGTCAGCACCCTTCGCGTCCAGGAATACAGGAGAGTGTTACGATATGAAGTTTTGATAAGAAGGCATTCCTGTATGCCGCACGAGCCGACTCTACCGAGTACGAAGGCGAGGAGTCAGAAGAGTCGAAGCGACACAGCAACCACCTGATCAAGACTGATGCAGGAAGAAATGAAAAGAGCGGGAACAGGTTTGAAACTGATTCCCGCGCCGCACGGTTTGAATTTCGCTGTAATAAGGGAATGTACCCCTTAGAGTACATGGCTAGTCTAGGTCGTTTCGCATTCCTTTGTATTTCCTATATAAACCCAATCTATGCATGCTATTATTATCTCAGTCATTTACATTCACTCTGACCTGAGTTCACTACTTCCGCTGCGACACTACCTGCGATCAACCCTGAAAAGATCCTTTCGCTAAGTCCCACTACAGATTGTAACATTCTAAACAAGGTTTATTTAAAAATTTCAAGCATTTAATGTATCGTAAGTGTGCTGGACATGTTTGGTGTCATTCGCAGCGTCTGATAGGGAGATATGATGTTCCAAACATGCGAGCAGGGAGAACCGTGCAAGGATAGGCCTGTGCTGCTACGTGGTGCCAAATCAACGTCCGTTTGTTATTCGAAACAAGGTTTCTTTACATCATTCAAACATTTACTATATCCTAAGTGTGTTGACCAGGTTTTGTGTCATTTGCCGCGTCTAATAGGGAGATATGATGTTCCAAACATGCGAGCACGGAGAACCGTTCAAGGATAGGCCTGCGCTGTTACGTGGTGCCAAATCAACGTCAGTTTGCTATTTCAAACGAGGCTTCTTTTGATCATTCATGCATTTACTATATCCTAAGCGTGATGGACAGGTTTGGTGTTATTCGCCGCGTCCAGTAGGGAGATATGATGTTTCAACATGCAAGCAAGGAGAACCGTGCAAGGATAGGCTTGTGTTGTTATGTGGTGCCAAATCAATGTCCGTTTGATCATTCAAGCAATTACTATATCCCAAGCGTGCTGGACAGGTTTGGTATCATTCGCTGCATCTGGTACGGAGATATGATGTTCCAAACATGCGAGCAAGGAGAACTGTGCAAGGATAGGCCTGCACTGTTACGTGGTGCCAAATCAACGTTCGTTTGTTATTCTAAACAAGGTTTCTTTTAAAATTTCAAAAATGTACTATATCTCTAGCTTGCTGGACAGGTTTGGTATCATTCGCCGCGTCTGGTAGGGAGATATGATGTTCCAAACATGCGAGCAGGGAGAACCGTGCAAGGATAGGCGCGTGCTGTTACGTAGTGCCAAATCAACGTTTGTTTGTAATTCTAAACAATGTTTCAACGTTTGTTTGTTTCATTTGATCATTCGAGCAGTTACGATATTCTAAGCGTTTTGGATAGGTTTGGTATTATTTGCAGCATCTGGTAGGAAGCTATGCTGTTTCAAACAATTGAGCAAGGAAATCTGTGCACAGATAGGCTTGTGCAACACGTGGTGTCTGTTTGACATCCGTTTGTCGTTTTAAACAGGGCTTCTCTTGATCATTCATGCATTTACTATATTGCGATGGTGCTGGATTGATTTGGTGTCAAATCGAGCAGTGAAATCTGTGCAAGGATAGGCCTGTGCCACACGGGGGGTCAATTCGATGTCCGTTTGTCGTTTGTAACCGGTTTTTGCTCAAACATTCATGCATTAATTATATTGCAAGTGTGCTGAAGTGATCTGGGATCACTATGTCGCAAGTATGCAATCAATAGTTGTTGCGATTTGGACGTTGTAACTTGTGCTCGGATAGGCATGAACGAGACGTGGCACCGTTTAAACGTCATCTTGTTGTCTGTGACATGGGATCTTTTGGCTGATGGGTCATTGGCTGTTTTGCAAGCAATTTTTCAAAATATAAGGAAGAAGGGGACACTGTTATTGAAAATAAATTGACGGAAAGTCCCGCAATGATGCGCATGGGCGGCAGTTTGTTAAGAGAGCTGCGTGTTCTTTTTAGAATGGATTGAAACTTAGGCAACATACCATATTGATCAGCAAAGGTGTGTAGTTGTAGGCCCTTAGTTTTGTTAATAGCAAACGAAGAGCAAGTGTCGAATTGGATTTCTTAACATAGCACACATAAAACTCCTACTTAGTGTTCTTAGCCCACTAGTACCACTGTTGCTTGTCACGTTTTCATTTTGCGCAGTGGCGTTCCTTTCCATGTCGATCGCTGAGGCTGGCATTCCCAGCCGCAGCCGCCGATGACTGCGGATCTCGTGCCTGAACACCGCCAACATAAACGTGGGCCGTCCGAAACACCCCTCTTTGCCTCGACGTGCCTCCCACACTGCTGCCGACTGGATCACCGAGGTCGACGCCACCTTTGTTGTTCACCGGTCGAGGAGAAACAGGTCGGGAGGAGTGCTCCAATGATTGACGTGCTGTGCCTCATCACGTTCACAACGCAGACTCTAAGCTGACCATGTGCCCACGACTGCACCTGATCCTCCACGTCGACCTCGGGATACCACACCGAGGTCGGCTTCGCAAAAGCCTCCTGGGCGACTCTTCCGCACCCCGCAACGCCCATCGCCTGGGTAACTGTGTCGACCAGGCGACCAGATCGCCGTCCAGGCGCCTAGGACGCCGTCTAGACGCCTAGGTCGGCGTCCAGGCACCCAGGATGTCGTCCAGGCGCCCAGGACACCGTCCACATGCCCAGGTCGGTGTCCAGGCGCCCAGGACGCCGTCGCCCACTGGAGCAGGTCGGCTGGGCTTCATGCACACCCGAAAACGAAGTCGGCTCCGCCCAAGCGAGGACGCGGCCAACACACGACTCCCGTTGACAGAAAAGAGGGTTCGTCTCGTCGAGCTGGGAGCCTGCTTCGTGCCGGGGCCGGCTTAGTGCGTCCGACTTATTGTGTAAACCTGTCGTGTAGACGATATCGTAGCGGAAATGTGTCTCAAGGAAGTCCATCGTCAGAGCGTGAGTTGTGACATAAGGTACTTGAGACTGCAGTGGTCAATGTAGACTTTAGTCTTGGCTTCTTCCACATAACACCTCCATGCCTTGAAGCCTATGACTATTGCTAAGGCTTGCTTACCGTGTACCTTCTTACTTAGGTAAGCGATAGGTTGCAAACCGCGTCCGTGATCCTGCATCAGTACTGCTCCGACTGCCTGGTCACTAGCGTCTGCTTCCACCACGTAGTCTCTATCTCTCTAGATACGGTAGGATGAGTACTGGGGTAGTGGTCAAAGCTGTTTACAACTGCTCCATGACTTGCTGTTGAGGAGTAGAGCATATCGTTTTTTAGTAAGTTCGTCTGTGACACGAACCTGTTGTAGTAGTTGGCAAACCAGAAGAATTGCTCCTTGACGTTCTCAGGAACTTTCCACTTCTTGACGGCTTCGATTTTCTACGGGTCCGCGTGTACGCCATCGGCACTCACCATGTGCCATAGAAACTGCGCCTTCTTCAAGGCGAATTCGCTTTTCGACGGCTTCACGTAAAACTAGTTTTTCGCAGTATCTCGTATACTTTTCGCAGGTGCTCCACGTGCTCTGTCACATTTTTGGAGTATATGAGAATGTTGTCCAGGTACACTACTACGCACTCATCCGGACACACTGTAGTGTTCACACCTGCCGCTCACACATTTTCCAAGCAGTGTGACACACTTCAGAACTTTCAAGACCTTCAGGACTAGGGCAGCTCACACCACGTTTTCCCAAGGTGTTACATCTGGGTATCCTCGGCGATGGCAGCAGGCCGAGGAGCCGGCGGAGGCGTCGCGTTGAGGTTGAGGGGGGGGCTTGCGCACTCCATCCGATCAATGATGATCGGATTGCGAATCTTGAAAGCGCACACATGTTGCACGGCGTGATGCAGGTGGCATGGGCGTAGCCAGTCAGCATCTCACATGCCTCCCGTGCCGTGCGCCTCGCCTCGCGCGTCTCGGGGTTCTCGTCCTCGTACACGGCCTGCATGGAGGTGGGCGCCTCCCACGACGCCCCCGAATACGTTGTAGCTGGCTCAAGCACAAGTGGGTCCTCACCGAACTCGGCGCACGTCGGCTGGTCGTCGTCGATTGCGATAAACTTGGTTGATGGCATGGCACTGGGCCCGAGTCCAAGACGGGCAATGAGAATGTCTACGTCCCCGATCTCCTCATCGAGATCGATCGGGAGCGCGGCATTAACGTCGTTCACGCTGCCGCTCGCATTGATGCCGGCTGCGCCCACGTGGGCGAGGTCCATGACCCACGAACGCGGGATACACCCCGTGTGCCACCAGCACCGCTGAATAATGTGCACGGAAATGTTCATCCATGCATCGAGAGCCAAGCAATGACGTCGCGCAGATCCAGAAGGAATCGCGCGAGCATGCTCGTGGCGCCCGCATCCTGCCACAGCGCCATGAAAGCCCGCAGCCAGTGTTGACGGTAGCGGCTTTCGTTATCGCGATAAATCTCTGGCCGAGCAAGAAGACGAGCCGCACGTTGCCGAGAGAGCGGGTGCGAAAGCCGAAAAGGTCTTCCGAGGTCGCATCGTCGATCTTGATGATGTGGCTACTTGCGTTGTCGAGGAGGACCACGATGTTACGGTCCTCGGCGTACATGGCGGCAAAAAAAAAAAAAAAAGTACACAAACAAAAACACAAACACACAAACAATTAAACAAACAAACAAACAAACAAACAAACAAAAATAGGACGGGACAGAGTATATGTCAAGGCAATGTTCAGAAACAACACATATAAGGAAGAAGAAAATAACCTCAATAAAAGGGGGAATGGCATTCAAATATTGTCGCATCACTGACCAGCGCTGTCATCCAGCCCTTAGCATTGTTGTGCCAGTAGCACAACTCGTCGGGGTTGTAATCGAGAAGGGCACTGTCAGGGGAGCCGGGGCGCCAGTGGTGGCGGATGCCGCCTGCGGCGACGAAGCAGAGGCCTGAGCAGGCTCGACAGGGACAGAAGCGGGCGGCGCAACGGGCGCGACAGGGACAGGGACCGGGGGATCAGCAGCCGGAGCGGAGGGAGTCAGGGGAACAAGAGTAGCTGACGGAGCGGTTGGAGCAGCAACAGGTTCATACAGGACAGGGGCAGACACACCACCAGGAGCCTCGGGTGCGTGGGGAGGAGGCTTTCCAGATACTGCTGTCGCGAGCTTCGGAGCCAACGGCAGAGGGGGCTTCATCGCCGTGGTCACCTTTTCGCTCTCAGCCGGGGGTTTGGCGACCGCAGCTGACGCCGCGACAGCGCTCGATGGCGACAGCTCAAGCCCACCAGCAATCACCATCCCGAGCAAGAGGTGGTCGTGGTCGTCAGGCAGCAAGCGGAGTAGGCGGAGGTCCAGAGAACGGGTTTCCGACGGCTGGACGGAGGGCTTTAACCGAACTAGAAGAGACTACTGAAGCGGAAGAAATTACGGACCCTACTTATAGGGAGGAGTTAGTCCCTGCAGAGGAAAGGGACAGCGAGGGGGATAGCGAGAGGAATCGAGACACCGCTGGGAGAGACTGTACGGAGAGGGAGGTTAGCCGCGAGACCTCACGGGGGCACAGAGAAGAAGGAGGGCCGACCGATGGCGATCGGACGGCTACAATTTCAACCCTTGACCGCACTGCGAGGCCGAGCCGCGCACGAGGAATTCGTCCCGCTTGTGACAAACCGCCGGTACGATAGAGCCCGAAAAATCCCCACTATTTTTCGCCAGACGAGTTGGCGAGGCGAGCAGACAAGTTCGCTGGGATTGCGAGCTAGGACATTGCGGCGCTCTGCGACAGCCGACAACCAGTTCTGTCACGGCGTTTACCGCCAAATCTATGTCAGCTGTTCTCGCTTGCGCTGCTAACCCCGCTCCTTCACCTTTCGCGAAACCCTGACTCCGAATCAAGATGGCGCCTGCTCCTTTTCCTCCCGCGCCTCACACTTCGCCAAACCTCGCCCAAACGACCGAACTGGCCCCAGATCAAAGCTCGACTCCGCTCGTTCCAGCGTGGCGAATGGGAGCAGTTGTACACTGAGGCCGTGGACGCAGTCAACACCCCGCCCCCGCCACGTCACCAACCTGACGAGACCGGTGTGATCAAACGAGCCAAAGGTTTAGCAAAACGAGGCAGTCTGTGAAGGGCTGTGCTGGCACTAGAGTCAACACCGGTCTGTACACCCAGCCCAAGAATTCTGGACGAACTGCGTCAGAAACACCCGCCAGCCGGACCCGAAGCGCTGACTTGGCCAGCCACGCAAGCGCCTTGTCTGACCATCCTCAACGCGGAATTTGTCAAACTGCTCGACAGATGCGAGAACGGTGTGGGCGTTGGACCGTCAGGCACCACCTTTGAGCATTTGCACGATGCGGCAATAACCAATGCATCGGTCTGCACCCACCTGCATGCCTTGGTGAACACATTGCTGACCGGAAAATTACCGCCTGCAGTGGCAGACCTGTTGACTTCCTCGCGCCTCATTGCCCTGTCCAAGTCGGGAGGAGGGACACGACCAATCGCAATCGGCGAATGTCTGACTCGGTTGGCATCAAAAGCGGCTTTGACAATCATGGGCGAGGCAGCACGCGAATACTTTCTGCCACTACAGTACGGGGTGGTTGTGCCAGGTGGAGCAGAGGCAATCATTCATGCCGCCCGAGCTTTTATGGACGCACGCCCAGACAGCGTCATACTGCAGATCGACATTTCGAACGCATTCAACAGCATCTCGCGCCAGGCGATCGCGAATGCGTTACGCGACCCCAACCTGTCGCCACTGCTCCCGCTAGTCAAATTAACCTACGGTAACCCGTCGCAGCTACACTTGGACGCAAAATTTGACAGCGAACCCCTGCAAAGCGAGCGAGGAGTTCGGCAAGGGGACCCTCTCGGCCCCTTGCTCTTTGCTGCCGGAATACACCCTGCACTACGCGAAACCGCCGCTGCACACCCACAAGTCCTATACCTCGCCTACGTGGAAACCCACATGCATGGGGGAAACCCACGAAGCCGTAGCCGCTTTCACTCATTTCACTGACGGCCTCACACACATCGGCCTCGCGCATAATCCCGGGAAATGCGCAGCGTGGCACCAAAACTCCGTGTGCACACATACTTTACCACCAGGAGTGCCGTTCAGGGCTAAAGGGGTCCGCCTCCTAGGTAGCTACTTGGGTCCTCCTGCTAGCACCGCTACATTCTTATCGACACAGCTAGACGATATGGCCAAGCCACTGCCGCTCCTACAGCGCACGGATCCCCAGGTGGCCTTCCTCTTACTGACCCGCTGTATTTCTCGTCGCGCGGCGTATCTCATCCGAACAACGCCCATCAACCTGCTGGATCGCGACAAATGGTCCCAGTGGGGCAGGGACCTCCTGGCCACCTTGCTTATCGCCTGCGGCATCAGTGTCCCCTCTAGTAGCTCGGAGCTGGACCGTGTTTGGGCACAGGCATCTCTCCCGCCGTCACTGGGTGGAATTGGCCTCACGGACCTGACCGTAGAAGGCGTTTACAGATTCCTCGCTAGCTACTGCCAGGCCGCGCTTTTCATAGATTCACTGGCCCCGGAAGCAGACGACATACTGTCGACGGTTCGTGACCACATGTTGTTGCCGCGCGACGTCAACACACCTCTTTACGCGTGGCTGTCTGAATGCGAATCGTCTCTGCCTGCAGACGGCCGCGAGGTGCTTGAGAAAGAGCGACTAGAGCCGAAGGGTATCAGGCTGCAGCATGCACTGGCACTCAAAGTACAAGGTAGAAGATACGCGGTCCAAGCAAGGGAAACCAGGCACATGAGACTTAATCCGCTCTCCGGGCACACGCAGCGGATGTTCTCCCTTACTGGCTACGGCACTGGCGACTGGTTGACCGCCATTCCCATAGCAACAACACGGCGTATTGGTCTAGTTCACTTCGCAAACGCGGTGCGTTTCACACTGCGCCTCCCTTTCTCAACGCCCAAAAACTGCGACTGCACGGAGCATACCGCCATCACCGACCCGCGCCTTCCCAATCACCTCTTCAGATATGGGACAGGCAAGCATCGCATCAACACTCATAATGAGCTCCGCGATGCTTGCATCAGCATGGCTGAGGACGCTGGGTTCATTGTACACGGGGAAACAGCGGAATACTGCCCGGTTGACGAGCAAACTGCCGATTTTACCATGAGGGACAGGAGCAGCGGCGCGGTGTACGTGTGTGACGTTACCATTACCGAACCCATCAGCACTAGGGACCCGGAGGCGCTTAAAGGAAGGGGATGGGCGGCACGGGAGCTGGCTGACAAGAAGATCAAGCACTATGCTAACCTCCCGGACACGGTGCGCTTTTTCCCCTTGGCGGTCGAGACCTACGGTTGCCGGTGTGCAGAGGTACCGGTTTTCCTGAAACTACTGGCGGACACAGCAGCTCGGCGACACTTCAACGCCGACTCACAATCATTTCATGCTGCTAAATTCTTGCATCAGTTTCGGCAAAGGTGGTCAGTAGCCCTGCAAAGGGCTCAATCCGTCGGTTACCTTATCAAGTCATGTGAGGCAGCTGCAGCAGAAAACCCGCCCGTGGGTGGGGTGGGGGCAGAATTTCGCTTGGGAGATTGTTTCGCGGTGCTTGAGCCCTTGGTGGAGCTCTAGATTAGGGCTGATGTGTTAGGTAGTACTTGTTTGATTATAGGTTTGTCATAGAATTGCCACCTATCACTAGTTTGTTGCTTGTACCTTTGCCATATCAATGCACGGACCATTAGAGAGAGAGAAATCCTGCCACAGGAGGTACCCACGGAAGCCGCATGCGAGGTGACCGATAAATCGGCTCCCGAGGCGCGGACGAAACAACAGGCGCCTGGGAAGAACCGCCGCCCGCCGCGGCTGCAACAACATCAGCGGCGGCTCGGAGCAGGGCTGGCACTTGCCCGACCTTGGCTGCTGGTGGGTCCTGCCACAGGAGGTACCCACGGCAGCCGATTTATGGGTCACCTCCTGTCGCGCTCATAAATTCCAATCCTGCAACAGGAGGTACCCACGGCAGCCGCATGCGACTCCCAGGAGCGGCAGCAGATGCAGCTGGGGCAGGAGGAGCTAGAGAAGCAGCCTGAGGAGGAGGAGCCATAGCCACAAGAAGTGCAGTCGGATATGGAGCCACAGGAGCCAGAGCGACGCACTGCTCGGCTCTCTCCTCGCGTAACGCCGCTGAGACAACCTGTTGTACGTCCGCAAGGGTCAGTGGCTGAGCATATGCCGCACCACCGCCACGACCGTGACCTCCCCCTCACCCGCCACGGCCGTCACATTGTGCAGGCCAGTTTGCCAGCGAGCGGTTATGCCGGGGAGATTTGCGCCGACGTCCGACGACTCCTGCTCCTCACGGGGCGTAGGAGAATGTGGGCAAGAGGAGCGATGGCCAGGAGATAGAGAGCCCCTGCTGTCTCACTGGCGCAACAACAAGTGTTGTCTGGACGGCCTTCCCGTGCGCCACAACCGGGTCCTGGCCGCCAGTGGTGGCGGACACCGCCATCGGCGACGAACCAACGGTCGCGGCGAGTGCAGCAGGGGCAACAACGGCAGGTGGTGCCGCAGGGATTTCGGGGACAGGCGGAGCAACAGCAGGAGCAGGGGGTGA